TTTTTTTTAAATTTTGCTAAATGATACAACTTCAAGAAAACAGCCACCTAAATCCCAATCCTGTAGCTAAGTGTTTAAGGTGCTGTCTTGGGAAGCAACTTAAAATGATCTGACACATCTCTGAAGCTGAGAAGGGATTCTTAGTACCAAGTTTTTCAGAGCTGTATTGAATTCACTAGCTGTTGAATGCTTGGATAGAGTGAGAACTGCACCTCCATATTTGCTTATTATATCTTTTAAATTAAAATTGGTTGAACTAAATCCTACAGGTATCAGGTGTGTTTTGAACTTATGTGATGATCGATCTCCCTACAAACATAAGCAGTGGAGAGTGTTTCGTCTTAACACTAAAGCTCTTCAGTCCTCCCAGGACATTTAAGAAAGCTGCTTAAAATTATGCTTATAGATTATGCCAAAATTCAGTCTAGATTCTTAAGTCCTTTTAGTATTTACCCTATTTCTTAGATCTTTCCATGATTTTCCTTCTTTAGAGGCTTTTAACTGGAAAAAAAGAGATAGTTTTGACCCAAAATTATGATGGTGTCATAGATGGATGGCAAACAAGATTTAACCAGGATTTAGCCACAATTCTCCACCTATTAACAGGGAATAATTTATTGCAAGGAGTATTTAGAAGATAAAGAGCACCAGACTATTGGCAGTTAAATTCCAGTGATCAGTGACTAGAAGAACATGCGAGTTCCTCCTTTGTGTAATTGAAATGCACTGATTTAAAAAACAAGAACTGAAATTTTCAGACTTTTCTAATTTCTGTTCATTTTATAAAATACTGTTTTAACTTGTAATTTCTAGGTTCACTACAAAACACCTGAATGATGAATCTACTTCAAAACAAATTCGAGCTATGCTGCAGTAGTACCTGAGACAAATAGATGTTTGTATTGATCACAGAAGATGTGTATGTTTACATAATTTAATACAGTTTGATGTTAATACTTGTGTGTATTTACATAACCATTTTCTTCACATTGCTAAAATATATGAATCTGTTCATAACCTGACTGACTTTATATAGTGCAGCCTAAGTTTTTATGGTAGCCTTTATATTTTGACTTTTAAAATACTTTTTTACTTAGATACTTCAGCTATGACAGTTTATCTGTTCATTTTAATCCTTAAACACCTTCTCTATCAGAGAAGTAAGTAGTAGTGAGGACAAAATTGAAATCAAATAAACTGAAATGTCAACGATACCACAGAAAAGGAACTTTAAAGAAGGAGAAAGTTAATATAAGAGAAAGTAAAATTCATTGGATATGTTTTAAGAACATGTGCACAGTTTTTTAGTCAGTCAGTTTTAAGATCTTATCAAACTTGTATGAATAGGAGAATACCTGAATGTTCATCACTCTCATAGAATATGTTGTCTTTCCTGTAATAAGTGGAGAACCACCTAATTTTAAGGATTATGTGCTGGCTGACATCCAAAAACTTACTGCAAAGAGGTCATTTTACTTTTTTTATTAAGTATAACCTGCACCTTTCAACAATTGAGGAAATTAATATCTTTTTTCAGATTCAGTATAAATAAACAAAGAATGTGTTTCAAGGCCATTGCTAGATTTTGAAATTTCTGTATAATTTTATTACATTTAGAAAGGAAAGGGAAAATACTAATGCCTTGACTTAACTGGAAAGGGTTTGTCAGTGTAAATATATCATGATGAACATTTTTCTCTCAGACAACTCTACCCAGTAAGTAATTTTTTTGCTGATATAAACCAGCATAAAGTAGAACACTCTTCTGTAGCAGCAAACTTCCCTAGTGTCAAATTTGCTTCATCAAACTAGGGATGATATAAATAAGTTTTAAGAGCTGAGCTGTTCTTAGGCATTCCATCAAGTTCCTTGATAGTATTATTCATTAGATGATTCAGAGTCAACAAAAAAATATTTATCAGCTGACTGCTCTTCATTGGTTTTTGAGATGTGGTTAATACTTCAAGGAGTTGAGTTCCTTGCTGAGTTGTTTGTTCTTACCTTCTAGTAATTTTTCCAGTAAATGGAATAGAAATACTTTGCCAAAAGCAGCAAAGTGCTCATGCTGTGTTAAGTGTGTCTTCTGGGTGGTCTGCAGTTGCTGTACATATTCTTGCAGAGGTCACGTTCTCAAAATGTGTTTGATTTTGTGTACTTTGCTTGCATGTATGTGTGAAAACTCTGGTGGTTGTGCACAGATTCAGATTTGTATTTGCTTATTCCTGTGTACGTAAATCAGGGTTTGTGTGCTGCCACTGGAATTTTCATGCATATCACTTCTAAAAACATTAGCTTAAGACTTTGAAGATGCATTTGGTCTGCTGAAACTCAGCTGTGCTGTGACAAATTGAGTCATTGAACTCGGTCCCTAAACAGTATTAATATCCTAAGTTCTCTAGAGTATGGGTTGCATTAGAGTTTATTTCTGAGCAGAACAACCACTATGAGGTTTCTCAAGCCTGATCAGAACCCACAAGTGCAACCTTGTATGTGTGATACTGGACAGCACCGCAATGCCAGCATTCATGTCACACATCTACAGTTGTAGCAGCAGATCACTTTGTTGTTGTCAGGAACAGAATTAGAAATCACGCTAGTTTTTCTTCTTTTTCTGGAAGCAGTGATCACACTGCTTTTTCACAGTAGTAAATCCACTGTTTACAAGCTCCAATTTTAATGGGGGGACATTTAAAAATGTATATTAGGGAAAATCCTGCTTTGTTCGTAGTCACTTCTAGTTAGGTAAATCTAGGTGGATGACAGGTCATTCTGTTAAGCTTTGGTAAATGAAGTTAATATGTGCTTACCTGCAATTATTTGTCAAACAATGAAGTCTTATCTTTAAGTAGCCCAGAGGAAAGCTATTTGTCACTTGTATAATAAAAATGTAAACCTTAAAGCATTCTGTGAGTTGTCATGTGCTGTTTGCCGAAGTCACTGAATGTCTTTGTCTGCTTTGATGTTTTTGTACAGAAGTTTGTTTGAAATAATAAAAAGTTTGGTAAGCATTGGGATTGTCTATATTTAGAGTCCACAGCAACAGGTTGAGAAATATCTCATTTAAAGTTTTGGATCTGAGATGCAGTAGACTCCCCTTTATGTGTCCAGTTTATAGTTTATTTAAAAAGCATTTAAAATGTTTCACTTGTATGACACAACAATATAACCTCCTGTCACTTAAACAATTCCTGTTTTTTTTTGATGATTTTGGCACTTGTATGTCATCTTGACCAGGGGAAATTGTTGATACTGCTTTACAGAGTAGAGAGCATGAATCCCTTCTATGATTTTTATATCTTCAAATTAGTCATCCTAGGCTATGGTGACCATCTCAGGTTGCATTTATAATCAATAAGGTCACCAGAGGATGATTCATTTAATTTTAAGATAAGTGCAAATGAATTACTCTCAGAAGAAGAGCAATATAGACTAATGGTCAAAGTTATTGATCTCCATTTTGTCAGTGTTTCTTCTTATTTTGGCTCATTATTATGTAAGAATACATGTTTGTAGTATGATAAACATTTAAGCCTCATAATGACAGCATTTCAGAATCTGCATAAATGAATGTGACTGGTTTGGGTCAGAACAGCCCTAAAAAATCTGCTTGTTTTGTGGTGGAAGGAAATACTATTTTAGGGTGGTATGAATTTGAAAGACTAGAATTTACTGCTACAAACAAATGAATGGTTTTGAAACATAATTTATGACTTCTAAGTTTTCTGCTGCTACTAAGTGACTGTCACAAAGGATAGTTACTAAGATTATATTTACTGGTATGTGATAGACCAGATCACTCACTCAGATAAATCATGTAATCACTCAGATAAATTATCTCATGTTTTCCATGTCTACATAGCAACAAAAATTCTTCTCTGTGTTACTTTCCATGTTGTATTTCAGCTAAATTTAAACTGGAAGTAAGGCATGTAGTATATAAGATGACTTGCTTTACATTTACTCTGAATTAAACAAAGTAGGACATAAATTCTTCATATTAAATGATGTCTCTTCCCCCTCCCCCATTTACTTCTTGAGAAGTTTAATGGAATCAATATATTCCTACAAAAATACCGTGCCAGTTAGGTGGATGCATATTTGGGAAATACTGCATCATTTTTTCCTGCCACATCTGGTTTTGGCCAAAACCAGTATTTGTCTGTCCAGTTCTCAGCCTGTCAGGGTCCCTCTGGATGGCAGCACAACCATGGGGTGTATCAACAACTCCTCCCTGTTTTGTACAATCTGCACAATTCCGAAGGGTGCATTCTGTCCCACCATCTGGGTCATCAATGAATATGTTAAAAAGTATTGGTCCCACTATCAGCCACTGGGGTGTGTGACTAGTGATTGGCTTCTAGATGGATTTTGTGCTGCTAATCACAACCCCTTTGAGCCTGGCAGTTCAGCCAGTTCTCAGTATACCTCAGTGTCCGTTTATCTCATCCATATTTCATGAGTTTGTGTATGAGGATGTTATGGGAGGCAGTGTCAAAAGCCTTGCTAAAGTCAAGATAAAGAAGCCTTCAGTGACATCAGCCAGCTCTCTCAGCATTTGTGGTGTATCCCATTAGGTCCCATAGACTTGTGTGTGTCCGGTTTGTTTAAATGTTCTCTAACTTGATCCTTCTCCACCAAGAGAAAGTCTTCCTTGCTCCAGACTTTCTCTCTGGTCTCAGGGGCCTGGGATGCCTGAAGGCAAATCCTACCATTAAAGACTGAGGCAAAGAAGGCACTTTGTCTGCCTTCTTTGTCACCAGGTCCTGTACCCCATTTAGCAGCAGGCATGCATTTTCCATAACTTTCTTGTTGCTGCTGATTAGTACCTGTAGAAGCCCTTTTTGTTGGCCTTCACATCCTTCACCAGTTTTAACTTCAGAAGGGCTTTGGCTTTCCTAAGCCCAACTATGCATGCCCAGGCAGTGTCTTATATTCTTCCTGGGTCTCTTGTCCCTGCTCCCACTTCCTGCATGCTGCCTCTTTATGCTTTAGTTTAGTCAGGAGCTCCGTGTTCATCCATGCAGGCCTCCTGCCATCTTTCTTTGGTTTTGTGCTTATCAGGAAGGACTATTCTTGAGCTTGGGGGTGATCCTTGAAAATAAGCCAGCTTTCCTGGGCTCCTCTTCTCTCCAGGGCTGTACCCCGTGCAATTCTTCCAACCAGATCCCTGAAAAAGCCAAATTAAGATTCCCAACTTAAATCTTTCCTGTAATCATCTTGTGGCTGTATAGTCAGGAATATGCTTTTAAAAGTTCGTGTGTTCTAGCACTCTTAGAAGTGCATGATTCTAGGAACATCAAAAGTCAAGAAATATAATGTCTTCCATATCCAAAAGTTTGGTAATAGTTGCAAATAGTTGGAAGAGGTAGGGTTTTGTTGTTGGGTTTTTTTCTTTAAAAAATAGGGCATTAATTACGATTCTCTTACCTCAGATGAATTCTGTAATGCAAAATTACCATGAAGCAGATTAGGTAACGCAATGGAAGCCAGTGAGCTGAAACAGTGACATGAATTTGATTTGCCAGTAAGAGAGCAGAACCCATTTTGGTTAAAAAGCCAATACACCAGATCTAGTATTTTAACTTAGTAGTCTGTAATGCCTCCTGCTACAGACTAATAAAGGTGAATTCTTGACTGCCACATAATCCAAATTCTGCAAACACAGAATTCTCTTACACACCGATATGAGACAAATGTAACTCAGTTGATTTTAACAGAGCTGTTTCTGATTGACACGGGTGTAAATGATACCCTTTTTCTTTTCTCAGTCGTGGCCTTTGACCTAAGTTGCTTATTACTGAGCAAATTGAGTCTTCTCCTAGTACAGATCAATGATGTAATGTGATAATCTTGCAGAGATCTCTTGCGCTTGACTGCTTTGAAATTAAAACTAAAATGAACAGTGCAGAGATGTTCTACAAAATCAGTAAGTATATAGTTAAAAAGTAGACCAACCAAGCGCTAATCCCTAGTTTAAGAGGAAGATATATCATCATTTTTCAACAGATCTTAATTTGGGGTCCAACTGGAATTAATATAACTCTCTTGTCTTGGATATTTGGGCTGTTGACAATTAAATGTGTAGACTTGGGTATTGAGAACTTGACATACCTCTTGACATTTTAAAATTGCTAACAGAACTTAAAGGTTAGAATATTTGTATGTGGCTTGGATCAAAATTGCTATTACAGCCTGTGAGTGTTCTCTTTCTGGTTCTGCATCCACTTCAGTGAAATTCTAGGGTTTAAAGAAACTTTCCATGGATTTAATTGATGGGTCAAACAGCTACTCTCTTACTGCCTTGAAAATTGTGGAAGAGTTTGTCTGTCTTCTCTAGACACACAAAAGAAGTTGGAAAAAGACAGTGGAAGATGATCAACCTCAACTGGTTTAGATCTTCCATAATGAAAAGAGGAGAAAGCACAAAACGTGACATGTATGCAGTCACCATGCAGTTCAGAACTACCCTGTCTTGTGGGTTGTGTGAAATGGCAATGTCTGAAGGTCAGGTCATGCTAGATGGACAGGGAACTTCTGAAGGGCTTTGACCAGGAAAGGATTCTACCCAAAATGAAGAAACTTGTCTCTTGACAGACACGATTTTAGGATGCCATGGTAG